CTTAGAGTATTTGAAAAAGTATTTGTAAAACCAAACGACATAAAGAAAATTTTGTATTTACGTACAAATAATAAATGCTTTCATTGAAAAAAGTTTCAGACACAATTACAAATACTCTAAGAGTATTTGAGTATAGTATTTTAAATATTTTTATTCAAATATTACGCGGCATTTTTATTTAATGTTGCAATAGTATCTATCACCACTTAGTCCAAATGGAGAGGTTCCGCGATTGTTTTTTTTCGATGAACGTTATTGCTAAATAACGGTGGCAATACCTTCATTATTAATTTTTATCATTATTATTATGTGTTTAAGTCGGCTTTAAATACATCCATAAAAACACCATTCATATGTTAAGCAAGCAATGACATATTATTTTTAATTAATTTACTTGGAAATATTGCATTAATTTTTAGAAATTGATATAAGTAGTCAAAATATTCTGTTAGTGTTGTAGTAGTTTTGTTGGGGTGTTTTTTTTTTTAACGGTGAATCGGTTTCTATTTAGGAATTAAACTGAGTTAGTATAATTGAACGCACCTACATAACCTGTAATCTACGTCTTATAAATATCGATGGAAGTATTATCATCTTTGGATCTTCCGGCGATTTCGCTCAGTAATGATTATGTCATCTTGTCTTCGCTCTTCGAGAAGACGAGTCGACTTTTTTGCTATCCGTAAACGAAGACAACGCCTGAAGGTATTTAGCCCTAATTGTTCTTCGGTTTTCATTTGATTGTGTGGAATAATTTTTATATTTAGTAATAGATAGGGTTTGATTAGCGTTGCATAAATTTTTTTGGTGTGAACGACTTCGACGGCGTGCTGGTTTCGTATTCCAACATGGAATTCTATCTTGGCATGTTGCTTGTCTACTCATCTACCGTAAATTTTTAGATTCTCGGTTTATTTGAGGTCAATGAATTACGATTTTGTTAGAATTATTGAATTTTGAAAATAGCTTTAGGCGATGACTATCGATTTTTCATGACCACGTGAAAAATTTCTTTCGTTTTATCACTAAAATCATTAACAAAAACATTGTGAACATATAACTAATATTAAATTGTTTTAACAGAATAATAAATGAATATGGTGACAGTGGATCAAAAGGGCTTGGAATATGGAAAAGCAGAGTCCCACTCATATGTTATTCTCTTGGGATTGGAAAAGATCCATTTGTGGAAAGAGTAAGAAATCTTTAATTATTTTCTGAAGTTGCATTTGTGGTTGTGATTTTCTTCTAAATTGTAATTATTAATGACAGAGTTCCTTCCATAGTCTATAATTTAATTTGTGTAAGTTAGTTCTTAATATTTTACAACGTAATATTTGAGATGAAATTGACATTAAATTTTTTCAACAGGCTGTCACAAAGAAACAAAGAATAAGAATTGGAAACTTGGACTCTCCACAACCTCCTCTTGTACTTGAAAGGTGCAATTTTTGTGATGTTCTGTCTTTTGCTCGGTGGCTCATTTCTCGGTTGTCAACGTTTAGGAGCACCGTACTGTCTACAATAATCCTCGAGGTTAGCAATGTTTACTATTTTCACGGTAATTTTCCCAGCAAATGCGATCCTTGGGATCGATGGTTTCTCTTCTGTCATCTATTGGCCTTAGCATAAGTTGATGATAGCGTGAATCTATGGTAGTCTAGCAACTATCTATTATTCACAACATTGGGTATCTATTATTTCTATTGGACCTATGCTTTTTTAACTTTTATCTATGAATTAACATACGCCTTCATTTTGTAATTTGTTATTTACTTATCTTCCAGAGTAAATTTTATATGTTTAACTTAGGCGTATTTAATGCCTTCCTTAATTAACAATGTAATTAATATTTTGTTTTTGCCATTTCTGCAGATTATCCAACAAATGAATGAGACTAAAGTTCAACTTGGTCATACTGAAACAGCCAAGGTCTACAGTGGTGTTGTCTTTTGTGAACTATATATTCTTGATTTGCTGTTTTTGTCTTCACTTTGCAACATCATGAAGTTAATTTTCAACTGATAAATGAGAGCAACAGAAGATTTATTGAAACAACATTCTGTGCTGTGGTATTCCTTCTGGATTTAGTCTGCATTTCACACCTGCAAACTTTGGATTGTTACAGTCTACAATTAATTAAGGTGAGAATACTTAATATAATTAATTTTAATTGCTCTTTATTAATCTGTTACCACCGTATCTGTTTCAGATCGACGTTGGAGAAGACAGAGATGACCCCATAGTTAAAATAGTTCTTTATCTTGCATGCTCTATCTAGTAGAATTCATTAAGTCCATTTTGTTCAAATTAATTCTTTATTTTGCATGTTTTTTTGTACATAATTTGAATTATTTTGCATACTTATTTTTGTTCATTTTATTTCAAGTAATTGTTGATTGCATATGTTTTTATTTTTTTTTGTATGTAGTAGTAGTGTAGCAGTAGTTCTAACACGTTTAGTAGTTGTAGTATAGTCTAACATGTCTCTTGCTTACCTCTTCGCTTAGCTTACTGCATATTCTTACTATAAATTGCTTTGCATTTACCCTACGAGTTCTACATGATTCAACGTTTCGTTATCGTGTGTGTTTCTTCTCACCCTTGTGGAATTAGGGAGGGCCTCCCCGAACGACTTCCCTTGGGCTTAGCTATTTAGTTGATCTTAAAAGTGTCTTATACACTTTTCGCGAGTCTACTCTAGCGTTACTTCCTTTCAGACGGGGTACAGTGGGTTATCTGGAATAGGAGCAATAGGCGACTGCCCAGCTTGCCTTGGCGAAATCTGTCCGATCTTTTCTACCAAAGCTATTAGTATTTGTCGTTAGTCCTTGTAATTGCACTATTCGCTTTCAGATAATGACGTGTTTCCTAAGAAGAACGAAGACATCATTTTATTCTTTGCTTTTTATTGTATTTTCTTTGAAATTTCCTGTTTTCTTGTCTTTCTTTTACAGGTATTTTGTTTTTTACTACATAAACTGGTATATCTTTTTAATCATTACTTTGGTTGATATTTAAAATGTTTCTAAACTGATTTTTTGGCATAATTGTTACTTAAATTAATTATCTGTTTACACTTTCAAAATTAATGTTCGTTTGGGTGGATAGGGTGGCTATAAGGGGAGATGTGGAGGCCACAGAGGGTTAGGGGAGGCTTTTTTCTCTCTAATCATGTGTTTAAATAATAATATGACAGTTTATAAATAAATAACGTTCCTTTTTGTATTTTCTTTGAAATTCCATTCGTTTTCTTGTCTTTCTCTTTCAGGTATTTTCTGTTATAACTTTTATAAGTCATTATAAACTGTTACTTCTGAGATATTTTGTTTGTATCATGTATTATACAGTTGTTTGAAATAAATATCGTTGTATTAGATGTAATTTTTGTCTAAATAAATAAATCTTAACTCATTACTGTTTTATCATTTGCGTGTTTTAACTGTGTAATAGTTGTTGAATGCATTGAAAACAATGTAAAATAAATCAAAATTAAATGTAACCTTGGATCGGTCTTGATCAGTGTAATAGTTGAATGTATTTAAAACAAAGCAAAATAAATTACAAGTTAGAATCTGTGACCTTGCATCGCTCTAGATCAGTATTCATTTTTATGCCTGAAATACCTAAATGATTACAGCGCCCTCTAGCAGAGGATGACAGAACTGCTTAGTTCATCGATTTGTCGCCAGGGGGCCGCGACGGTGGCACCTCTTGTGACAAACCGTCGAACTACTGGAGTTCAATAGCGTGCCGCAAGATGGCGCTGCAATCACTTAGGATTTGAGCCAAATACGAGGGTTGGTCAGAAAGTAATGGAAAAAGACCTTATACAACTTATGCTCTCCTAATACAAATGCTGGATTTATGAAAATTTTCGGTTTTGAGCGAAATACAAGGGTTGGTCAGAAAGTAATGGAAAAACCAAAAATTGTTTTTTGACATTTTGTTCTTCCATAACTTTTCGACCGGCCCTCGTATATGACGCAAAACTGAAAATTTTGTTAAATCTGAAAATTTGTATTAGGAGAGCATAAGTCGCAAAAGGTCTTTTTAAGAGGACCAATTTTTAGCGCGGGATCAACTATATGGCAGTCTTGTTTTTCGTTTTTCTACATCGTTCGGCCTTGAAACGTTTAATTGTACTATTACTATCATAATTTATGGTAATTTCCAGTATTATAACTAAATTAAATTTCTCAAAAGTCTTAGTGTTATTTTTAATAAATGAAACGCTGTTTATGTCAAAATGAGGTTTATTTAGCAATTTTATTATATATTTTGTTTAAATAAAATACAATTTGTTCAATAATACATTTATTGTTGCAAATTAATAGCATTTATAATAAACACAACGTATGAACATCGATAGATAAGTATTTCAAATAACAATACTTTAATATAAACAAAATATCTAAGATATAATACATTCTAACGACTTATAAAAGTTAAAAATAAAATACCTGTAAGAGAGA